TAAGATTGTCATTGTGCTTGCGGAAATGCTATGTTGCTCCCATTCGGTCAAAAGTCCTCTTGAGCAAATCATTGGCGCAAGAGGGCCAGTGTAGACAGCACAGTACTGTTTTGCGCAAAAAAGCCCTGATGGCTAAAATGGCGAGCGGGGCTTTTTTGCACAAAAGCGCATCTAGATTGGCACAGACGCTTTTCCGCAAAAAGTTCTTTTGCGGAAAAGCGTCCGTGCCAATCTAGACGTTCTGCTCCAAAAATGCTTTTAACGGAAAACTTTTCTGTTAAAAGCATTTCTGGAAAATCATGCCAGTCTAGACGTAGCCATAGTGTAGACCTAGCTTAAGTGAGGCTGCATAACACGTGGCAGGCATGATCCCCCAGTGCCCACCAGCCATTCCCAGGGCTCCCCCAAACGCTTTTGGAGCTGGCAGTGCCAAGGCCATCTGTCCTGGCAAGCCAGGGCAAGAACAGCACAGACTGGTCAGCATGAAACAAGAACCTCAGATTGTTGGTAGCAAGAGACTGTGAACACAGGATTGAGAGTTGACTTGGGGTGGCGTTTGATGATACGCTTCTCAGCCACGGAGCCCACAAACTGTGCCAACACACTCCCCAATGGGCTTTCTCTCTTCTTTATAAAGTTTACCTGCCAGGAGTGTGCCCAGCTTTCCCCTCATGACCCCAGCAATTACTGGAGAATTTAACTTTCCATTAAAAAAAAATTAAAAACTCAAAGTTTCTAGCCCTTCTGACTATGAAAAAAATTCCTTCTAAACAGGACGCAAACCTGCCAGAGGTGCAGCTACAGAAACAATCTTCAGAAGAAATGCAATCAACCCTCATTTACAACAATGAGGTGATACCTCTGAAGCTTACTGATGTTGTGAACTGCTAATTGTTTCAATATAAACAGCCTGCTAGCCTACAGCAACAGGCAATGATCTAGCAGAAGAAAGAGTTACTCACCTTGTGCAGTAACGGTTGTTCTTCGAGATGTGTCCCCGTGGGTGCTCCACTCTGGGTGCTGGTGCGTCCTCGCGCCGGCGACCAGAGACTTTTCTAGCTGTTTCTGCCGCGGCGCGCAGGCGCCGTGGCGCCCTCTAGTGTTGTTCGAACTGAAGGGCGCCTGCGCGCGCGCGGCTCCTCCGTTCCTTCTCTACCCACCAGAGCATCAGGCTCCAAGCAGGGGAAGGAGGGAGGGTAGTGGAGCACCCACGGGGACACATCTCGAAGAACAACCGTTACTGCACAAGGTGAGTAACTCTTTCTTCTCCTTCGAGTGGTCCCCGTGGGTGCTCCACTCTGGGTGACTACACAGCAGTTGTCGGCTCGCGGAGGTGGGTTTGGAGCCGTGTGGTAGTAACTGTGGATAGCACCGCTTGTCCAACCGCCATAGAAGATGCTATCGAAGCGGAGAGAGCATAGTGTTGCGCAAACGAGTGGTCAGATGACCAGGTAGCAGCATTGCAAATGTCCTGCAATGGAACATTACGAAGAAAGGTGGTCGTGGAAGCTACCGCTCTAGTGGAATGAGCTGTGATAAGTCCAGGTAAGTCTTTGTTATGTAAGGTATAAGAGGTTTTAATGCAGGATGTAATCCATTTAGAGATTCTCTGAGATGAGACTGCTTGTCCCTTAGATCTTTCAGCATATGAGATGAAAAGTCTAGGCGAGGCTCGCCAGGGTCTCGTGCGATCTATGTAAAACGCCAATGCTCGTCGGACATCGAGAGTGTGCCACACGGTGTGGATCGGTTCCGTGTGCGGTTTCGGAAAGAAGGCAGGGAAGTGTATGGGTTCATTCACATGGAAGGGAGAGAGTACTTTGGGTAGGAACTTAGGGTGGGGTCTAAGTACCACCCTGTCCTGTAAAAACACGGTATATGGGGGGTCAGCCATCAGAGCTGCAAGCTCACTCACCCTCCTACTGGAGGTGATGGCGACTAGGAAAGCCACCTTCATCGACAAATGAGAGAACGAGCAGGTTGCTATCGGCTCGAACGGGGGTTTTGTGAGGCTTTTGAGGACATGGTTCAGGTCCCAAATGGGGACTGG